AGGCAGGAGGAGAGGAGGCCTAAGGCTGTAAGAGTTAGTGAGTGAGTGAATAAATATTAATGAGGAATGAATGGGTTTTCTTGTAATAACATTATTGTCCTCATAGTGACTGAAAATTCTCATCTTCTGGCCTATCATTTACTAGTACTTCTGACAAATGTTTGTAAGGGAACTAAAGAACAACTTGTCATACATATGTAAGACTGTTTGACAGGCATAGACAGAAGAAAGGAATGAACTCACAACATGAAATATGAAATATCTATCCCAGCTACATTCCAAAATTAGCTGTGACTCGTGGGTGAAGATTTCGACTTAGGGCTCTGAAGACTGTGGATCTGGGTTCCAGGTTATCACTGCGTTCTGTGCATTGTATTTTATTCATGGGCGCCTAAAGGCAATCTTTTTATTTTTGCACAACGCATACAGTCAACACGTGTTAACCTGTGCTCTGCAACTGCACCCTGGCTCAATTGACGCCCTACTTTTAACTCCCACCCTTGACTCATAGGGCCCTCAAGGCTTGTCTTCTGACTATGATCTTCTACTTTCTCTGATCGACTGGCCTGTCCTCTGCTTTCTGTGATTTTCTTTGAATCTTGGTATTACGATCTGTTAACGAGCTGACTGCTATCAATCTATTGAATAACTGGACACATCAAGAAGAAACCAAACGATATCAAAATTACAATCGAATCGAATCAACGATGTCTGGACCTTCAACGCCGTTCATCCCTCCTCACCCGTCCGAGTTACCGTCGGGCTCACCAGCCGCGAGTGCGCGTGTCATACCACCCACACCAGGGACGAACCCGTACGTTTTCCCACCTGGTGGTGGCGGACATCCGCCTCCTCCGGGAGGAGGCATGGGCCTGGGAGGATGGGGAGGATTTGGGTATCCTGCGGGGTATCAGCAGCAAAGAGGACGAAGAAATTCGCGAGCGGGATATGAGGGTATGCCCAGTATGCCGGGAGGAGGACCACCGTTTGACCATGGGACGTACTTTGGGTACCCTGCTGCCGCTGCCGCTGCAACACCCGCTATGGTTCATCCAGGGCTCGATCCGAGGTGGGGTGCCGCAGGAGGAGGAGGAGCGGACTATCTCTCACCAGAAGGGTATGCAGCAGCACAATTTGGTCAACCTCCGGCTGTGATACCTCCTCGTCCTTCGCCTTCCCGATCTCGCGAACGATCTCGCTCGAGGGGCGGCGGCGGAGGCTTCTCCGCAGATTGGGCGGGTCCACGTTCGCCTGAAGAAGCTGGGTTTGGTGGAACTTGGTACACACCTGCTGCGCCTCCCGGCTGGGGCATAGGCGCGCACGGACCTGCGCCTACGACGGGGTTCTCGACGTTCACGCAGGAGTTGCCGCAGGCCGGGTATTATCCCTACGGACATCCAGCATATGGGCTTGGGCATGGATATCGAGGACATCATCGACGTGGGACCTCGGCGCATACGACGCCTTGGATGGGTGGTGGGTTTGATTTGCCGCCGGAGACTCCTGGGGAGTTCAACGAGCCGCTTGATCCGTACGATAGACACCCGCCTGCTGCGCGTCCGCAGAGTGGGTTTGGTACGATTGATACGAGGTGGTTCACTGGAGCGAGCTGTACGTCTTCAACTCCCTCTCACTAATTTCTCAAATGTCATTATTATTTTTTAATTAACGTGTATGTATGTGCAGACGGACCAGTCCTAGACCCACTCCTCGCATCCGTCGTCAAATGCTCCTTCAAAATCAACCCTCTACTCCTCCCTCCTCCAGAAGACCCAACTAAACGTCCCTACCTCACATGGAACATGCTCTTCTCAACTTCCTACGTCCATCGCTCCGACGAGCGCCAAAATCAATCTTGGTTAAAGGGTCGTGACGCACCTGCAACGCACCCGCGGCTTACCTCGCTCCGACTGATATCGAGACACTTTACGTGGTTTATTGAGGTGAAAGCGAGGAATAAGAATGTTGGGGTTACGTGTGGGGAGTTGGTTGAGAAACTTTCGAGTTTCTTGCTTGAGATGATAAGGAAGGATGATTTCGAGTCGCTCTCGAGAACCGATCAAGGTAGGGTGACAGAATCGTACTATTACAACCGAGAGAGACATGAAGACGTTCCCGGTGGGAGGCTCGGCAACGGAATGAGAAGAGTTGATCTTTTACTGGACAAGACGACGTGGGGAGGTATGGAGGTTGATCAAAGATACGTGAAGGAGAGGATGTCGTTACTTGGAGTTAATGACGATGAGGATGGTGCTGGGCGTAGGAGGCGGCGGGAGAGAGAGGTTGTTGGTATATTTTTACTGAATTGTGAGAGGAGGTTACCGATGACGGAGGATGAGAGACGGGCTGAAGCTGAGAGGGCGAGCGAATGATTGACTGTTAGGTGCTAAGGGATTGTCCCGTGTTGTCTTGTAATACCAACTGATTCAAGAGTGTTTTTTAACTAGGCGAATGAAAGGTCCCATCCGTTTGGGTTTATTGTGCACCATCTCAATAACTTTCGCTGGAGGTAGCGACCAAAGAATGAATTTTCATATTCGTACATACACAAGACCAATCAACAAAAAAGAGAAGGTCTATAACTTAAAAAGGGCCGAAAAATACGAAATAACATATCCGCCTCCTTTTTACCTACTCTCCAAAACTAATCCTAAGTGAAGACTCAAGACAGGGGTGGGTTAGCGTTCTGGATGAGTGTCTCGAAGTAACTCTGGAACCACGTTCCGGCTTCTGGTGCGGGTTGCGCGGCGTCGCTTTGCGAGCAGTCTAGTTCGAGGGAAAATAAAAGAGTGACTCAGATTGAGATTCAGAGAGGTGAAGGGGTGTGAATGGGACACGTACGGGAGTCGAACCGGGGTGACGATGTGTCGGAAGTGCCGTCACTTTCACCTGGAGGCTTCACTAAATATTCGAACAATATGGTCAGCAGAAGCCTTATCCAAGAAGCGCAAAACACATACCCCAAACGATCGAATCGATCAAGTCATTCCCAGTATCCGTCGATGGACGCGGACCCAATCCGGCACCAAGGACGTTGCACCAGTCACCCTCAGCAGTTCGGATACCTGAGACACCTGACCTGCCTTGGTCAACGATGAATTGTGAGGGGAAACCGTTCGAGTCGAGCATGGGAGCGAGAGCGTTGATGTAGAGCTCTTCATCGTAGTTCGGGTTGGGAGCTTGTGCGGGGTCTTCTGTGCCTCGGAGGAGGTTGTAGTTTGAGACGTCGGTTGCGAGACCGCGCACAGTCTGGTGAATTGTTCGTGAGTTAAAGTGAAGGGAGGAATTGAAAGAGTGGGACGTACGGCGTTGTTACCTGCGCCTTGGAGTACAGACGCGAAGAGTTGAGCCGCTGGAGTGAGGTTTGCAGGCCAGCCGAGCCATCCAGAGTGGCCAGCATCAAGATAGAGCCAGACGTTGTCCTGCTGAAGTTGAGCAATGGCATAGGATACAAGTTCCTAAAAATAAAAATGAATTAATATAGGCGTCCTGATTCGGTGATATTAGAGTGAAGCAAACCTTGTACGTGCTCTCAGCGTTAGCACATTTCGGGACGCTGAGGTTCGTCACGAGATTGGCAAGCCCATCAGGCTCAACGACGAATACAACCCGTACGTTCGGGAACTCTGCGGTCACAATTGCAAATCAGCTCCGAATTTACACACTAAAACGGGAGAGATAAACATACGCTCGACCTGCTCTGCAATAGAGTCGATGTACGCTTGGTATTTCTCGGCACCACCATCAGCGATGGAGAACTCGCCCGCAGAAGCCTCAGCGGCACAGTCACGGTCTGGAAGGTCGTAAATGACAGCCTGTACGACTTGCGTGCCACCTGCAGCATCTGCCTGGGAAAGCATATCACCGAGTGTGGGAACTTTGGCGGCAACATCCATCCAGAAGAAGACCGGGATTTGCTCGACCAGAGCTGCTTGCTGTGCGGTTGTAGAGTCCGTAATACTAAAAGGCGGGCACATCATCGGACACATGGGTCACATTTTAACATGAATATGAAAAAGACTTACTTCGCGACAGCAGCTTGAACCTCTGCAACATATGTGGGGTTGAGGAAGACAGTGGCACCTTCGAATGGATTACCAGTTCCCGCGCCCTTGACGAGGGCGGGAATACAAGCAACGAGTGCAGCGAGGGCGGAGAGTTTCATTTTGAGGCAGTCGACTGGTGTCTGTGCTGAGGATTCAGACCTTCAGAACCAACCCATTTTATACGTTTGCGGGATGTTAGATCCTCAATTTTCACGAGTCCAGGAACAACGTCGGATTGAAGATGAATCGAAATGTAATATCAAAGTACAGCTCAGCAAGGCCCGTAGTCGAATGGCGTCGTCGAATGTCGGCGTCCAGGGGTAAACGCGAAATCGAGCACGCGCTTCGGCCGCAGTCGAGAAAACATTTGGGATTCCGATGTTCCGGCGAACGCTCCATTAGAGGCAGGGAGGAAGGTCATATGTCAATAGGCGTCCAAGAAAAGCAGGCTTTTGGGGTAGCGCTCCCGAATGAAGAAGACAAGACACTGAATGAGCAAGCTTATTCCAGAAAACAGTCCGAGATTCTTAAGTCAGAACATTTTCCGATGATATTTTCCGTGCCGGAGGCGAAGATTGTCCTCATTTTACGGCCGTATGGAGCGGGGATATCGAAGGAAATGGGATACGTGAACTACGCAACGTCGTCATGGATCTTCAGCTACGGACATAAGGAAGTATTTCGTCCGGCGTGCAGTGCCCCTCGTGCCCTGACACCTGACGATATAGGGGCGATTTCGTGAGAGTACGAGTGCGGAAACATCGAGCTTAGGCGTACCGTGTCACGGGAGAGCATATGGTGGCTGCAAGTTATGCTGGAAGAAGATATATTTTCGGACTTAGGAGCAGGATGAAAATACGACCGTGCGCAGTCATTGCATGCATTCATGCGTAGATGGCGTAGAATGATCACCTCATAGGCTGGTATACAGTATCCGAGATTGCATGATTGATGGAAGACTCTCTATGTTCTTGATTTGTCTAGCGAAACTAGTGAAAACCGAGAATAAACCGCCTTGCTCAATTCTTGAATACGTTCTCGTGACGAGTTGGTGAACGTGACCAAATCGAGAGGTTTCGCAGAATTTCTTCATAAAACGTGTACGCAGCTAGCAAGATGTCGATGAAGGTCAAATATTTGAAAGTGCTGGATGGAGGAGGAGAAAGAGATGGAGATACAGGTTGAGAGAGGGACTAAATTGGAGAATAAGCATCACGTGCAATGATTGACTAGAAATGCGCTGTGTCCTTCCTGCTGACAACGTCCATATCCGTTTCTACGATCACAAAGTTGATTTGAGCCTGTCCAGGCTTAACTGACTCGCAATGGGTCGCATTGTGGGTCGGATCTGGGTCGGCTTCACGACATGCCTCATTGCGTTTATTGCCTACTCTTCTCAAGTATTTGTCATTTGGCCATGGTATGGACGCGCGTTTTCCGTGGAACTGCTGCAACTTCTCCTTCCATTCAAGTAAGGCCCTAAATCTTTCTTTATACTGAAAACTCGTCGACCGACTGATATCCGTAGCTTTCTGGTTGGAATGTTATACTGGAACTACTACTTGACTGTCACCACCGATCCAGGACGCGTTCCCAAATATTGGGTCCGTACGCGTGTCCCACTTCGATCAAGCTGAAGTGCATCTAAAGTCGCGATGATTTTGTCATATGTAGGAGCCAGATACGCACTCAGAAGAGGGTTATGAAGTAAAGCCGCTCTCAGGAAGACCGCGATATTGTAGAATGTGTGACTCGTATAAACCGCCACGGACCCATCATTGTCGCCAATGTAGACGGTGCGCATAAATACACAGTCCATATAAGATAATCTTACTGATTAGGCACAAATGGCAGATGTGTTCTACGTATGGATCATCACTGTCCCTGGGTGAATAACTGTGTCGGCCATTTCAACTACGGACATTTCATCCGCTTCCTCTTTTACGTTGATGTTGCGTGTTCGTATCACTTTGCTATGGTTACTCGTAGATCAATTGACGCCATGAATGCACGATATTGGGTCTGTCGCTCGACCTATATCTTATGTACGGAAGCATATTGATTCCAACATTTAGGAGGGTCCAGATACGGTGGAGTTCATATTCATGATCCTCAATTACGTGACTTGCGTGCCCGTCCTTCTCGGAGTAGGCGGATTCAGGTAATTAATTATAATCACCCACACGAAAGATGCTTACCGCTATTATATTAATTTATTAGCTTATATCATTTCTACTGCCTGAGTAACAATACAACGACAATTGAAGGCTGGGAGAAAGATAAAGTCGCGACGCTCGTAAAGAGGGGAAAGATTCATGAGGTACTTCGCTCGTATCGTATGCCGAACTGGTATTTACACATTTACCTTCATAATAGGTTAAATTTCCATACGTAAGCCCCTGTTACTCTCCAGTAAATAGCGTAACTTATAAAAAATCAACTTCGTAGAATATTGGACGTCGTGAGAATGTCGAGTCTGTGCTAGGCAAAAATCCTCTCCTGTGGTGTTGGCCTTCGGTTCCACCCGGAAATGGCCTAAAGTTCCCTGTTGCAGATGCTGATGGTAGGTGGTTTGCTCTCAATGACCGCCAACGGGAGCGCGAGGAGTTTGAGGAGGTGTATGAAGACGCAGGTCGCCAAGTGTGAAGCAAAATATTGCATTTATCTTGATCGTGCTTCGTGAGCCTGCCTCGTTATTGACCAGAAATGTAAGCGCTCATGCGTATGCTTGTCATTTGCCTTGACAGCCTGCCGTCCGTTCCACCTTACTTCCCCCTTTCTCATCCATTATTCTGCGGTTCTTGACTGATTCTGATCTTGCGATCCCACGGTGTAGATGGAGCAGCGCAAGTCTGGCCGCCTGAAGACCCAAATGACACTCGGGCTTACGACTTCAATCACGATGAAGAGGATGACGGACATGCTTTGGAGCTACCAGACTCACCATGGACATACGAGAACGGTTCTGTAAACCCCTCATTGGAACCATCCAACGCTTTTCGCAGACGAGCAACACAAGCATCCAGACAATCCCATCGTCCGGAAGAAGGCAACGTGTCAAAAGTTCCTCCGTACCATCCAGATTACGGCAAATCACCTCCGTCTGCATTAAACAACCGCTATTCTTCTTCCGAGGGAAGTGAAGAGAGCGACAGCGATGAGTATCGATACTATGGAGGGAAACGACGCGTGCGTCGAGGATCGGAAGGACTGGAAGTTAGAATGGGTGCAGCGGACCGTGAGGCGATCTTAAGGCGGTATATGTTTACTCGGGGTCCTGAGATTGGGAAATACCGGGTGTACAAACCAGAGCCTCATTCACCTTCGTTGTCACCTTCCCCGCCTATTGAACAAGTACCGGACGAATTGCCTCTTGGTGCGGAAGCGGGCAACCATTAATCCGTGAAAAGGACTGTTCGTCTTTATCCTTCTTTTCTTTGCACCGAAATCTCAATCTCAAAGGCCCGAGAAGCTCTCATCGCATCTCACAACGACCTCGAAGCAGCATTAGAATGGATTCAAAAAGACCTCGCAGTTTCAGGCGCTAAAAAGGCAGAGAAAGTCGGGGGACGAGAAACGAAGGAAGGTCTTATAGCTGTTTCGTTACTTTCACCTGGCTATGGACAAGGAACGGGCGGAGTGAGAGCTAGTATGGTTGAGATTAATTGCGAGACGGATTTCGTTGGGAGGAACGAGTTGTTTGGGAAGTTGGTGTCGGATATTGCACATACGACTGCGTTTCATGCAGAGGCTCCTGAGGACTTTCAGGAAAACCCGAAGTTGCTTCGACCGTTCCCTTTAGAATCTCTCCTCGATGCACCGTTAATGCAGAAGAACTCACCTTCTGAGTTGTCTTCGACGGCTACTGTTAGCTCCGCCATCCGTGACACAATCGCCAAAGTCGGCGAAAACATCTCCCTTCGACGCGCGATTAGCGTCGTTCTCCCCCCAGCTCCCGAGTCCGTACAAGCAGGTATCCGGGTCGCTTCATACGTCCATGGGACCACAACAGACCCAACACGAGGCCGTATGGGCACTCTCGCACTCACTTACCTCAAAACTCCCAACCTCAAGGAAGTCTTCGCGAAAGAAGGCT